CATATGAAGGGATTATTTGATGAAAAAAACCCTCATAAAGATGGTAATATTTGATAGACAGAGATTAGTTTTTAGGGGTTAACAGATGGCCAGAGAGGGACTTTAATACTGTCGGAAACCCATCCTCATACTTGTTTTTTCTGTGAACTGATTAAGAAGCCTCTCATATATCATAATTTTTTGATCGACTCAGATGTCTCAGAGCAGCAGCAATCAAATCTACGTCAGCCCAGTTACAAGCATGTCGTGGAATCCTATTAGCAGTCTCCACTCAAGTATCAAATGATCTCTTTGACTTACAACCAGCCACTGAGGATGTTCCTGTTGTTGCATTGCCATGGTTACCACAGATTCACATCCCCACCAAGGATTAGACAGCTAATTACCCCAGTTTTGTATTGTCCTTCCTTTGTTTCTTTCTTTGAATCCATTTCTTTGTTTCTTTTTTGATTAGCTTTCTTTGTTTCTGTCTTTCTTTTACACTCGCTCTTTGTTTTTCTTTCTGTCTTTGTTAATGAGTCTGTGTCTCTGCAGGAGTTTTTCAGGAATCTCAGCCACTGGATGGATCAGCACGCCGCCATGAACGACGCAGGGAACTTCCTCATTGAGACGTGTGATGAGACCGTGTCACTGGAGCTGAAGCAGCAGCTGCTTCTTCTAAATGGACGATGGAGAGACCTCTTCCTCAAAGTCAAACAAGTAATAAACAAACCACAACATCTCAAAATACTGTGTGTGAGACAACAAGCAGAACTGGGTCAGATGGTATCGGACGGATCTATTTTTAGTTTGGTTTGACACAGATTGACACGTACCTGACAGCGTTACTTTTCTCATATTCTGAATTCTGTTTTTTCCCCCCGCTGCAGTATGCCCGTTCAGATGAGTTGGAGAAGTGGAAAAAGGACCACCTGAAAGCTGTCTGGGCCCTGAAAGAGCTGCTGGATACAGCAGAGTCCAAACTCAATGCTCCCGTTCAAGTGTCTTTCCTGAACGTTAGAGCCTTTCTGCACGATGTGGAGGTGAGGGAAGGAAGAGAAAGTCTGTCACATGTAGAGGTCACGAAGCACAGCTGTACCAGTATAACCCAGTATATCTGCAGGGGTTTCTGTTGATTTACCTGTTTTCACGTAGACAAAAACTGTCATGAGGTTTGTCTATGTGTATGTTGGTACAACGTCAGTGTTTGTGCCCAGTTCACTGGAACAGTCTGAGAAAGTTAAGAAGAGTTAACATTACACTAACCCTGATCACAGCTCCAGGAGTGTGTTCTAAACCTGTCCTTAGCTCAGTGGGTAGTGAATCACAAGCTGGACAGTAGTGCACTGATTAAACCATGATTACGTTATCATCTGGACTGTAGTGAGACAGAGGTGTCAGAGGGACACGTTAGCAAACAACCAGCTCACTGGGCAAAAACGTTCATATGGAAAATGATGTCATCATCTTCTCCAACTGTGTTAGTTCTTAATAAACTCATAAACTTTGGAACAGGAGCTGCTGAAAGTGACTTCTGAGCTGCAAACAAAACAATGATATGAAATGTAGTTTTTATCGCAAAGGCAGCATCGATGGATGTGCATTCAATTGAAGAGTGTCTAAGGTGACCCTTTACCTGCGCGTCTCATCTTAGAATACCAAGCAAAAGGTTGTTGCCATGGAGACACAATACAAGCTGGCCGCCCGCAGTGCTCAGCTCCTTGCCAAGGATGCACCGCAGGATGAGGCTGCCAGGGTCGTGGCAACTATGGCAACAGCCAAAAATCAGCTGAGCAAGGTAGGACTCATTGAAGGCTGCACATGAAGGGCAGTACAATATGTTTTATTTATTTTTAAAGCAGCACACTTCTGTCTTTCTACTGAGAGTTGTTTTTAAATCGTCTGTTTTAATTTTCCCTGTCGTTGCCTAATGGCCTGTTTTGTTTGTCTCCAGGTGAGAGAGCGGTGTCCCTCCCTGGTCAGGGAGTGTCACGTCCTTCTGCCGCTGCTGGAGGAGATGGAGAAGCACATCAATGCTTTTTATCAGGCCCTGGAGCGCGCTAGTCGCATCACTTCTGCTGCACGAGATCCAGACTCACAGGCGCAGACTCAGCCAAAACTAAAGTGGCAGGTTAGTGAGGATGACAACGAACTGATTAAACTGACAGTGAGTGGCTACCAGACAGAGGCTGGACTAGAAAGGAAGATTTTACTACAACCATCTTATATTCAGGTTTCATCTCCCTCGCTGCTCTTCCTGCATCATCAAACTAACATCTGGCTTTGTTGTTATGACCTGTTTTAGCTTTGCAAAGAAAATGCTGGCAGAAAGGGATTTGCTCATGTACAATAAAAGTTTAAAATATAAAGTTTAACTGCTTTTAACACATGTAACGAGTTTTTGTTGGTTTTCTGTCCCAATTATCTCAGGATTTGTTAAACCAACAGCAAAGCTGTAAACGGTGTTTGTCAGTGATTGAGAGGAACCACCACACCCTGCAGAGGGCCGTCTCCACCAGCAAGGTGCTCCGCAACTTGGACCTGTCTTTGCTGCAGAAGAGAGTTGTAGAAATACAGGGCTCAGCACAGGTTGGTCCCATGCATGTGCTGTACATGTAGACACATCAGGATGCTGCAGAAGACAGCTTTAACTGCAATGCTGATTATAGTAAAGAGATTACAAGAATATCCAAACACCCAGGAGGTAGCTGTGCAGATTAAACCCTGTCTCATTATTCATTTGCTTGATGTAAGACAAATAATGTAATTACACTGTATTACCAAAGAGACCTATTACCATCACTGCTGCTTTCCCTCCATCCTCCCAGGCTTTGCTGAAGGAGGTTGGGGAATGGAGAAGGCAGGAAGAGGCCAACAACTGCCTGAGGAGGAGGTTTGAGGAATCACGTCAAGAACTGGAGAGAGTGCTGAAGAGAGCTCAGGGCTGCTTGAGAGAGACTGGAGATCCTGAGGAATTACTGAAGAAACACACGGTGAGAGAACATCTGTAGCGTTCTGCTATGAGCACATGAAGGGAACAGCTCGTCTGCAGAGGCGTTGCTTTTAGCTGTATCTGTGTTAAGGTGGTACTGCTCAGCTTGAACACTAGTCTGTTTTCTCTGGTCTTAGAAAAAAGCAGTTGAATTGCTTCTCCTTTCATTGTCTTGTGTTTTCATGATGCAGGATTTCTTTGGTCAACTGGACCAGCGGCTGCTGAGCGTGTTCTTGAAAGCATGTGATGAGCTGACAGACATCCTGCCACAGGATGAGCAACAGGGGCTGCAAGAAACTGTCCGTCGGCTGCACAAACACTGGAAGGTCAGGGGTCACCGCGCTTTAACACTCTCACTAATTACTGTGCATCTCAAGGGGCACATAGCCAATGCATTCACTGATCAGGAAGACCTTTGACTCTGACAGACATCACTCCTTCCTGTTTCCAATTAACATATATTAGTTATATGACAGTGCAACCTTCTCCCTGTTTGCTCGTAGGGGCTCTAACAGATGTTTTGTCTCACTGAAATGACTATGCTACTCTCTTGTGCTCTGTCTCTCTTCTGTCTTTCCTCCAGGACATCCAGGGGGAGGTACCGTCTCACCTGCTCCGTCTGAAGGTGGAGGTGGAGCGAAGTCGAGTGGCTGTCATCCTCCAAGACTCCAGAGCAGAGCTGGACAGAGAAATGCAAGCTCTGTCAGCCACCTGCACCAGTGAGCACGTGATCAAGGAGCACAGAGTGAGACTCGGTTTGGTAGAAACTTAAAACAGTTTAAACTGAGACTGAGAAAGAAAAAATCACTTTACGTTGTCATCACTGCCATCCTGAATCCTCTCACGTTTCCTTCTGTTTTATCTTCAGGCTTTCTTCAGGGAGCGTAAACCTTTGACTTCGTGTGAGAAGAGGATTAGAAACATGGAGGATCTGTGTCACAAGTTGCCTGACAACGACGTGGCTTATCGAACGCTTGACTTAACCAGAAGGGGTGTAGAAGAGGTTACAGAGCAAATCAGGAGCACCCACCTCAAACTGGAGCAGCACCCTGATAAATGGAAAGAGTGGAATGAAAGGTAGGCAGCCAAACACAGAATCCATACCTAAACACTGACGTCGACGGCTTTAAGTCATAACTCATTGTTCCATTTGTAGATTCTGTGAGCTTTCTGATTGGCTCTCATCTCAAAGAAGGCAAATGAGGCTTTTGAGAGCGACAGCAATAAATTCCCGTCATCAGGAGCAAGTGGATGCTGCTATTCAGGTGAGCCAGAACACTGGACTTGGAGCTGTAGGCACAGACGTTCGGTTATGATTCAGTATTATTCAATCATTCATCAATTCCAGGCACTGCAGGAAGCCGTGGACGCCCGAGAGGAAAGCCTGCTGTGGCTCAAGAGCCGCCTCGCTGGGCTGTCTGAGGTCAGCTCCGACCTGGAAGTCCAGAGACAGAGGACAGCTCTGGCCAAACTGTCGACTGACCTGCGAGGAGTCTTTTCTTCACTCTGTCAGGTATCTCAGGATAAGTGTTAAAAATGTTTGTTCTCCTTGTAAGTTTTCAACCAAACCTGAGCCTTCGCCTTTGTGCCACAGATGGGGGAGGAGGGCTCTGCTATGTTCCAGTATGAGGAGCTGAGGGATGAGGTGCACGGTGCTCTGGAGGAGGTTCTGAGGGCTCGAAAGGAGGCTGAGGAGCAGAGCAGCAGGATCCTGAATGCTGAGGGCTTGGAGGAGGCCAAACAACTTTACCTTATTCACCAGGTGTGTTTGATGCAGAAGCATGCTTCATAAGGAAGCTCCTGTATCCAGATGTCCTAAACTTTCTGTGTTATAAAAAAAAAAAACAGCAGTTAATTGTGGTTTACATTATGGCTGGTTTGAGCAACGAAAACCAAAATGAAGACACTGACCTGCTGTTTGATTGTCTGTGAATTCCAGCAACACCTGAAACACCTGCATGCTAACAGGAGAGAGGCTGAGCTGCTGGTGTCCCACTGCCGCCAGCTGCAGAAAGGGGAGGTGCTCAGTCAGTCTCTACGGGAGCTGGAGCGAGCTTTCAGCGAGGTCGACCGCAAATCAGGGGTCAAGGAGCACAGCCTGCAGGTAGACGGAGCCCAGATGTTCTCATGTCAGCGTGCTAACATCTGCATGTGTCAGTGTCATTGATCATCTCTGCTGTGATCATGACTGTGATGTTAAACCAGAACCAGATATTGATCTTTATGGCATGTTCATCTATTATATCTGCTGTCTGGGGATTTGTTCATGCACTTCAGCCATTGTCCTCGAACTGATCAGAAAACGTTTCTGCGTGAAAGTTTCATGGATGCCAAGACCTTAAAATACCTTAAAATACCTTAAACTACCTTAAACTACCTTAAAGTCCTTTAAAGTCCCTCTCTGGTCGTTGCTTTCATCCCTAAAAACTCATCTCTGTGAATCAAAGTGACATATTTAGAATTTTTTCATTGAAAATAATCTCTTCCTTTCTTAAGTTGGCTCAGATGTGGCTCTACAAATACATGCCTCTGTCCTCCCTCACTCCGTCCTACTCACTGTAGCGCGAGCACACCGGGCTCTGCTCAAATCGTGTAGTTCAGTCGTACATATTCCAGCCAGAAACTGATTCTGTAAAAGAATAGTTCCTTATCTTTATCACATATGAAACCCTGGCTGTCTGAGTCTGTGTTTTCAAGACTGTCTTTGGTACACTGCAGCTTCAATGTGGAGAAGCTCCGTCATCAGAATCAGAATCAGAACTTTATTGTCCTTGCACATGTCATGGTTCTGGCTGCTCATTTCATTCATCTGATGTCTTGTAAAACACGACACAGCCATGTTAACGAGGTAAAGAAAACAACAACAAAAAAACAAAACTGATTTTTGAGACTGACTATAATAAATTGCTGTTGAATAAACAAATATGTGTATTTTTTGTAGAGGCTGCAGAAGTAGGAGTCGGCAGGATGTGTTTAAGCAATAGGCTTTTACTGTATAGGTCACAGTCCTCACCAACTCTGTGTAAGATTATAACATGAATTTGTACCTTCTAACATTGCTTTCTTATTTTCTCGCCCCCTCAAGGCGACTCTGAGCTCTTGGCAAAATTTTGAGGCAGAAAGAGAAGCGGTTTGGAAGTTTATCAGCAATACCAACAACGAGCTGCACAAAGAGCTGATTTTTAACAGCCTGGACAGCCTGAGAACCGAGCAGCAGCACAACAAGGTGTGTCTCTGTCTGTGTTTCTGCATGCACCTTCTGTATCACTCCTGTCATTTATCAGTTCGTTTGTGCCTGTAGGAAATCCTCACAAAGGTTCTGGAGTATTCTGTACGAGCAGATCTGCTCTTGGAGAAGGCAGCAGATATTGAGCTCGGTCCGAAGAATCAGACTCTTCTTCTGCAGCAGGCTCAGTCCACCAGAGAAGCAGTCACACAGCTTCAGGACCATCTCAACAGGAAGTATGTCACGTCCTCACTGAAGGAGGGTTTATAAAGGAACACACTGGGACTCCCTCAAACAAAGTCATATATTCAATGTAAAACATGTGTAACAGCAAACTACAGACCTGTCATATTAAGTTTATGCCCTCTGTCTGGTGTTTGATCTGTTTCCTGCACTCATGTGTCCTGTTGGTTCTGACTCCAGTGTTGTCCAGCTGGAGATCATGTGTGTGCAGTGGGAGCGCTTCAGCAGCAAACTGGAGGCCTTCTTTCTGTGGATCAATGAGAAAGAGAAGGAGCTGGAGGCTGTCAGCACCTCCTCCTCCTCAGATCCTCCAGACAAACACATCAACACTGTAGAGGTATGTCAGGTATCAGCCTCTGTCATTCTGTACTGTTTTTAGTCTCATGCTGTGGTGGCTTCTCTGATTTTAGGTCAGTCAAAGGCGAGACATTTCACTGCCCTGCGCTGTCTGGAGGAATATTTACTCCTCTGATAATCTTCTTAAATGTACAAATAAATATACATCATCCACATTGATAGTAGCTCCAAGTGAAACATGCCACGATGCTGTTTTGCATGTAGTGTGCAGTATCATTGTTGCCTCAAAATTATTAGGATTAGGATAAAATAAAATGAAATGTTAATCTGACCTCCAGGGAAAACTGGGCCGGCATCGCAGCAAAGGCTTGCATATAGAAAATAAACTGATCATAGTTCATAAAATATAATCTTAGCTTTCCAGACTTCAGTCATGTCCATTTCATGACGGTCTTTAGAAAAAAAAATCTAAAAATTATAATATATCACAGCTTAGAAATCCTGAGGCAGCCATTTGGTTTGTTCAAACACACTTTGGAGATGGCGCTCTTTCTGTCATGTTTCCTCTACTGATGTTCCATATACGTTCCCTCGCTGTCATTCCTCTGCTGTTTCATCCCTCCAGGCGATGAGTAAAGGTTTTGAGGAGAAACGGGCAGCTTTAGCCCACATGGAGGCCGACTGTGAGGCTTTGTCCAGGTTCGTGACCCCCGGAGAGGCTGGAAGTCTCAGAGCACAACTCATCCAGATGATGCAGTGCTGGGAAGAGCTGAAGGAGAGAGTCGGGCAGCTTGGCGTACAGCTCAACCAGAGCGCCTCCTACAGGCAGAGATGCAACGACAACCTCGAACAGGTTCACAGAAAAATATGATCAGATTTCTATACTGTAGAAGTTCCATCCATCCATCTACCTGTTGCCTACACATCCCTTTGTCCTCTGTAGAGTGTAGAAGTTACAGGTAAGCCATAGTCATAACTGACATGTTTATCTTTGTCAGGTCAAGAAAACAGTCAGTGATCTTAAAGAGAAACTGGACTGTCAGATCACATGTTGTACATCATCATCAGACGCCTACAGGAACCTCCAGGATCACATGGTACGGATAAAAACTACCGCCTTCGTGATACCATGACCTTTTGTTTTTTATTCCAGTGTTTGTAATTGTGAATTCATTTTATTATGTGTATGTTCTAGACTTTACTCAGTAGCTCCTGAGGAACTGATTGCAGATGTATTTCCATTTACTCCAGGAGGTCTGCCGGGGCGCTGAGCAGCTGAAGCCCAGGCTGATGGCTCTGTTTTCGGCCGCAAAGAGGTTTGGAGAGGGCAGCCAGCTGGAGGAAGATGTGGATGACCTCCAGAAGCAACAGACACAGTTAACAGGAAAGGCTGCAGAAAAACAGTCTACATTAGAGAGCCTCCTAGCTCTGTGGCAAAGGTAAGATCAACAATCAGATATGCTCGGGCATGCTTAGGTTTCTCCTTCTGGAAGTTTAAGGTCTTGATCTTACTTTGTAAGGTCCCAGAGATAATTCATATGATGATTTGGTGCCATATAAATAAAACTGAGCTGTGCAGGGCCTGACAGCAGCGTATCGATGCCCCTCCAACACCTAGAGGAGGTGTGTCTGAACAGTTCACAGTGCACAAAAGCAGGAAGAAGGGAAATGTGAAGAACTATTATAAGAGAGATTAATTTAATGTTGTGTATTCTTTCTTTTTGCTTAGTGTTTCCCTGTCAGCCGTGGTTCCTGCTCACACATGTATCTGATTGTGATTGTATAAATATTGCTATTTCCCCTTTTATTGAGCGTGAGCTCTTTCTGCTGAATCCTTCTCTCGATGCCAATTTCCGCTTTTATTCTCCGAATCATTCTCTCATCTTAGTGTGATGTAGAAAAGCGAGATCTTGTCTTTGACGCAATCTGTCTGTTCCCCTGTCAGCCGCTGCATTTCTATTCTAATTATATGCTTTTCTTATCGCTTTCTTTGTCACACAATAGACTCTCAGAAGAATGATTGTTTGTTATTCGTGAGGAGAAAATAATGATCCAGTCACACGGTGGCTTTTTAGAGTGTTAAAGCCTTGCTGCTTGCTTTTTGGTATTTACCCACCCAGTCATTTTAAAAATGCACTCAATTATGCTTTTGCTGCTAAACTCTGACAGGCTTTATGTGTGTCTGCTTGTGTGTGTGTGGCTGTGTGTTTCTCTGCTGTCAGCCTCATCCTCACCCCTGCAGGTATATGTATAAGGGATTATGTGCAGCGCTGTGTGCTCTGGCGAGATATGGCCGGCCCATTCTGACCCTGTCACTGATACTGAGCCACGGTCAGATAAAAAATACATAACACACAGACAGTATCAGTGTGTGTGTGTCACTGTGTGTGTAGATGAACTTCTGGGACTGGTATCCAGCTGTTGTGCTGCTTAGATTTACTTTGATTTGAATACGTAAAACATTTGTTTCTGCAGATTTGAAAAGGAGACTTCGTCGATGAGAAGCTGGCTGGACAGGTGTGAGTCTGTGTGCTGCCCAGACTCTGAGCTCCTCTCTGCAGACAAAGTCAAGCTTAGGAATGAACTACAACATGTGCAGGTAAAATCAATTTGCTATTATTATTTTTTCGTCTGCGTAATAATGAAATTTTGGCTGCATAATTCTGATGTATTTGTTCACCTGTCCAGGACATGCAGGGGGAGACGCTGTCCTATGAGGCTCTCCTCCAGGGTCTTGTGAATCTCAGGCTCTGTCTGTACCCCACTGCACCTGAAACCTGTATTCAAGAGCTCAGTGATGATCTCATGCAGCTACAGCAGAGATGCACCTCAGCACAGAACAGCATATCACACAGGTGTTTGTTTTTATGAACTATGATATAAATGATTTTACATGAGCATGACTGGATTTATACAGTTGTCTAAAACAGTCTCGCCCAAGGTGCATGTTTTGTTTATTACACACCAACTAAAGCAGTAATGGTGGTCATATTCTGAATCCAACCTGCCCTCCACATCTCCGTCAGGCGTAAGCTGCTGGAGCTGCAGTTGGAGCACTTGGAGCAGTTTGATGAGGCGCTGCAGGGCCTGACCCAAAGCAGTGAAAACCTTCTGTCTGGCTTGAGAAGCTCTTCCCAGGTTGATATTGCTGATCTTGAGGCTGCAATTACTAAGCTGAAGGTGAGAAATCAATAATTTACTGTCAACAGTGATGTTCTTTGTAGGCTTTCTATATTAGAGCAGTTACAGTAAGCAAGTTTGTATTGATCGCTGTTGGAGCTGATTTAAATGAATCTGTTGGAACTATCTTGTTGCAGGAGCATGAGACACAACTACAGGAGAATGCGTCACAGAGAGAAATTCTCAATTCAAAAGAGTCCTCCCTGCTTTGCTGTTCCACCCCGGAGGCCCAGCAGCAGCTCCAGGGCTGGAGGGAGGACTGCCTACAACCCCTCAGTGAATCCCAGCGCCTCCTGCTCCTCCGTCACGAGTGCCTTACTGAGCTGAAGACGTTCCTGGAGAAGCATGGAGCAGCAACGAGGGCTGTGCGCCACCTTCATGAGGCTGTGGAGGGCAGGGGGAGCTGGGACCGCTCCAAAGCTGAAGAGCTGCATCGCGGCATCGGGGAGGTGGCTAAAGACGTGGCCCGGCTAGAGGCAGAGGCGGTCGGGTTAGATGGACAGCTAAGCAAGGCCCACCTGCACCTGTGTGGAGCAGAGTGGAGGGGCTCTAAAGATGTGAGCCAGCCTCAGGAGAGGACATCTTGTAGAGGACAGGTCGTGGCCCTCACACTGGCTCTGGAGGAGGTCCAGAGGGGCGTGGGGTGGAGGCAGAGTGAAGCAGATGCTTTAGGGGCCCTGTGGAGCTCCTTCAGAGAGAGGAGGGAGGAGGTGATGAAGAATTTAAAGAAACTGGAGGAAGATGCAAGACAGGAAAGGACCAGAGAGAACTCTGTGCAGGCCTTTCAGAACAGGTGTGTAGATATTATCCAAGACACCTGAAGCCAGTAGACATGTCAGGACGTTTGTTATCGGTGGAGCTGCTATAAACTGATTTCTGTAGCAGTGCTGTCAGTCTGTTACACATTCTAAACACTGAAAAGGTTTTTGTTTTAGCTGACGCTCGCCTCGTTTTCAGCTTCCCTTATTCCCTTTAAGCTATTAGTGGAGCAAATTATTAACTCAGCAAAAAATACATACATTTGAAAAGCAGGTCACCTTCTTCATTTGTGTTAAAAGCCTGATTTTACTGAAATAATTCTGCACACGTATTATATCCCAACCTATGAGCGGTAAACGTGGCCCTTTTTCTTTTTTAAATGCAGGTTGTGAGCTTTTAATTCAGAGTCTGATCCAAACTCCTCAACAACATGCTGATATACTGTGTACGACTGAATCCAAATTACAGATGGACAAATCCATTAAAACGTGATCTCCTGAAAAATGAGATGTATTATGTTGGGCTCAGGCTGGTAATCCCTATTGTTTTCTTCTGGATCTATTTCTCCCAGGCTGCGATTCTTTGTCCAGCTGGAGGATGAGCTCCAGTCCCTGCAGCACTCCCAGCGGTGGTTAGAAGAGAAGGGGAACCAGCTGGCCCGGAGGGACAGCGAGCTGGCAGGAGAAGCTCTGAGGGAGGTAGCGCTGGTAAAGACAGCCTGGGAGAACGTCAGCTCGCTGATCGCCAGCAGGTACAGGCTGGAGATGACTGAGACTCACATGATTTAAAGTCTGCTGCTGTTCTTGTTGTTGGTCCTCTGGTGTTCACTACCACTCAACAAATCATAGCTTTTCTCCTGTTTTCACATGCAGTCAAGAACAGAGTGTCGCTGTGGTGGATCTTCTCCGCCAGTTCTACCGCTTGAAGTCAATCCTCACCACGGTGGTGGAGAATGCTCAGGCTGTGGCCTACAATCTACCCGACCACAACCACAACGCTCTGGAGGCTAAACGCACTTTTACACAAGTCAGTACCATTTGGGTTTTTTTTTCTGAAATGTATTATTATCGCTGAATTTTCAGATTTTTCTTCTCAAACGAGGCTTTTGTTTGAATTCTACCAACATGTATCCAGAGATAATATTAGGACAGCTAAGACAGAACGTCCGTTGTTTCAGGAGCCCTCTTCTGTACATGATACCAGTGTAGTCCATCTGGATGAGCTGGTCCTGCTTCCTGTGGGGCTGGGAGCACTTGGTGGGATTCTCCTGCTGTCATATGTCAAAATGTCTTTCAGTGACTTCCCTGATAAGTTGGGATGTAGAATTTGTTTATATCCTGTGCAAAGTATGGATGTCCCAAACACCCTCTTTTAATGAGCAAAGATGTTTTCAGCTTTATGATTGTCAAGAACTCACTCTCAGAACAGGCGGACACAAATGCTCGACACAGACAGATTCAGGCAAAACGGCAGGTTTATTATCAGTCAGGGTTCAGTACACAGGAGGTCAGTCAATCAGGCAAAGGTATCAAAAACGAGAGGCAAAAGCAAGGTCCAACAACAAAAGCAAGGTCGTAACAAAACAGACTGTGACTATGAAGAACGCTGGTACGAAGACGGTGAAAGTGTGACGAACTGGCAACGAGACAGTGAGACACACAAGGTAATGTGCACGAGGTAATGAGGGGAGATGGGAAACCATCAGGGAGCAGGTGTGACGAGACAGGTGCAGGAGGTAAAACTAGAACAGAGACAACCGGTTAGTGATTTCAAAATAAAACAGGAAAGACGAGACATAAAATGTGCACACAAAACAGAAACTTGACAGACATGACAATGATTCATTTTTCTGGTAATTAGTTAGATAGTTTTATTTAATTACTCGATGCAGAACTATTTTCTACATGCATCAGTGAGATTTGGACAAAAAAGCATGATGGTGGCAGTTTTAATGTGCATAGTTTGTCCTGCATTTGAGTGAATTTAAGTTTCAATCTAGTGCATGTTAGTAATAAACTCCATCTTAGTTTCCAGCTTGTCCTGGTTCTACTCTCCCTCTAGTGGTGGCCTGCTTTCACTCCCTCTGACCTTCTCTCTGTGTCTGCAGCATGAGACCATTCAGGCTGAGCTGAGAGAAAAGCAGGAAGACATGGATCTGCTCATCAGCACAGTGGAAGACCTGCAGAGAGACCTGGACAAGGTTCCCAACTCTGATATGGGCTCCATCCAGAGAGACATGGAGACACTCAGAGATCAGTGGCTGCTGGTGAGCTGGTCACCTGTTCTAGTAGAAATGTCCCAACAAAGACAGAAGTCACTCCGTTTATTTACAAGCATACGTGATATATTGACATACTTAGTGAGATGTATTGAAATTTTAAAAACCCATTCAGGACTTTCCCATGACCCACAGCCCGTATTGTTTCACCGAGGTGGAGCTGAACTATGAAGATCACTATAACGAGATAAAGACATGTGTTGTGTTGTTTACTGTCCACAGTCCAGCTCTGCCAGACACGTGTGCCGGTGCTCTTTTAATGATCTTTATTTCTCTTCTCTTTCCTTGTTTTTGTTTTTTTTTTTATTATAATTTTTTTACGTTTTCTCCTCTTTTGGGATTTCGTTGCTGCTCAGCTGTCACAAATGAGACAGAAAAATAAACAAGTCTAGACAGGTTATCTGCCTTTCTGTCTCGCCCTCACTTCTCACTCCCACATCTGTCAGACTAATTAAGCGGCGATTTTCTTCCATCTCCCGGTAAAGCATACCATCCCTCGTTACAGAGAGACTGAGCGAAGGCTGAACACAAAGGAGACAGACCTATTCTCTCCTGCTGATTGAGCTGTATTGTGTTCTGTGTTGTTTCAGGTCTCAGAGAAGATACAAACCAACACAGAAAGACTGGGCTACTGCGTGGCGCTGTGGGACGACCTTAGGGCCATGGAGCAGGACATCAACCAGTGGAGCGCCCCGTCCATCGCTGACCTCACCGACACCGTCACCAGTCTGAGCAACAAGGAGAAAACAGAGGCCCATCTTGCCACCTTCCAGGTCAGAGCGTGCTGGGCTGTCTGCTGAGGAGAGCGTGTGAATAATGAGGCTGGTGTGATGTTCAGGGCTCAGCAGTGGGTGTCAGTTAATTGTCGTGCACTTTGATCTACAGGCTGAGGTTGAAAAGAGGGAGCAGAGGCTGGACGTCCTGCAGGAGAGAGTGACGGAGCTGAAGGAACGAGCCAAACTGCAAGAAACCCCGTTACAGATGCAGGTGAATGTGGTGCACAAGAGAAATACAGCAAGACTTTACTTACATATACATAGCAGCAGTATTACTGTTAGAATAGCTGTTATCAATGATGAGCACTGAAAACTACTGAATATCATTTATAGATTCATTTATATCATACTGAAGATTTAGTTACTCACAAGTGCATTAAAACTGAATGAAGGAAATGCTTTTGCTTGGGAACAAGGATTTGTCTTTTTTGCAGAATCTATTAATTGTAATAATTATTAAAGCGAACTTCTTGAGTCTTTAACATAGAAAACATGTTGGAAATGTTGTGGTGACGTGTGTCCTGCGGATACAAACGTGCTGATGTACGGAGGAGAGAGCAGCAGAGTCTCGAACAGCTTTGGGGCACAACAGAGAATATTAGCAGTGCTTCGTTCCTTCTTTATTGAAAGCATTTAAACATTTTAATTTATTTGCTGGTTTGCTTCTTACTGGAAAAACGACAATAACCAACAGCAGACTGTCAACCCTCAACTCTACAGTACAGAACCACAGTCTGGGCCTTTGTTGTGATGTTGACCCTTATTGGTCACCATGGAGTTTGTTGTTGTTGTTGTTATAGATTCCCCCCACACACACACACACATTTTGAGGCGTAGGTGGAGGTAGATGAGCTGTCTGTGTATGTTACCGTTAATTGCTCCTTGATTGACATGTGAGGTATTTTGAAACTGAACTGATTTGGTGCGTATAGTATGTGTACAGAAAAGGAACATACAAGCCCGGTTCTGCAGAACTGCATCGCTGTGAGGCAAATGAATCGCTGTTGTACTGCACAGAAAACAAACTATACTCTTCAGTGATTTGTGTTATTAAATCTGCTTTTGTTTGCAAAATGTTCTTGCTGATTTTATTGAACCAGGTTCTGGAGTCAGATCTGAGGAAGAAAATGACCCATGCGCAGGAAGTGTACAATCAGGCCAAACACACTCTGACCTACTTCAGCTTCCAGAAGCAACGACTGGAGGACCTCATGTCCCAGATGGCCGAGCGGCTGGAGGCGGTCGAAGGTTCCTTATCTGATCTCACCGAGGCTACTTCCCTCGAAGACATTAGCACAGTGAAGGTATGGAGTGATCAGGAGTGTGTCACTGAAGCACGCTGAGTTTAAGAGCTTTACTGACTTTATACCTGACCAGCAGCCCAACCATTCCTTTTCTTGTTTTTATTTCTGTTCTTCTTTTGTTTAAAGAGTTCATATTACTTCCAATAATGCTCTAAGAAATGGTGACAAAGACGTGATGTGTTGTTTGTTGTCCTCATTAGCTGCATTCCTCATAAAAGACAGCTCACTGTTATTATTATTATTATTATTATTATTATTACAGCAGGACACGCTCCATAAAAGGTCGTTATAATGATTAATAATAAGAAGCTTTTTACTTTAACCCTGTTGATCCCTAAAGGAGAATAGATGACGGGCCAAACAGCAGAACCCCATCCTAAATGTTTTGCTTTAGGACACTCCTGCACGATAGACGCAGTACAACAGATGGAGAGGTTTACTGTAGATCCATCTGCATTGTTCCACCACCAGCCATAATGCTAAATGTGCCGAGGCCTTCACTCTTTATGTCTGACTGTGTGTCCTTTACAGGACCTGCAGAGTGTCGTACAGCAACAGAGGGAAGACATGGATTCAGCCAGAGATGCCCTGACCGCCCTGTGCAGATCCCATCCCTCCCAGGAGCTGTCACGCCTCTCCACTGATCTCACGTCTATCGCCAAGCGAACAGAGGCTGTTGCCCAGCGCTGTAACAAGACCCGGGGAACCCTGCAGGACGGGCTACAGCTCCACTTCAACGGTAAGATACGATCGATCACTTCTGGTTTGTGGAGTTCAGTCCTGATGATGCATCAGGTGCTTTATGGAGAAGACTCGATTGTTCTTTATTACAAATACATGCAGTGATTTATCTCACAGCTAAATTAAGTAGCCCCGATACCTCATTCCCTGACAAGGAGACATTAGAATTTTAATAACACTTAAAACCTCATAATCACCCAATTAAACAGCGTACTATCACACAAAGCGATGTCATTGTCCATGTTAGCAGAGCAACAGATTTGGTGTTGATTATCCCACATTTCTCCCCAGAGCACACTCAATCCGCCCACTACGACTCACACTCCACTGACACACACTGCCAGGTACACCGGTGCACTCTCACTGCTCCGACACACACCTGTGCCTCGGAGAGTAATGTCGCTCTCGTCACATCTGCTCTCACGGGAGTCATTTTGGGCTTGTTACCAAGGCAACATGGCACTGCATAGCATGGACACGCCCACACTTCCCATCTGCCTCAACACATTGCCTCCTCTCGCTCTTCCCCTCCAGGTTCCTCCACTTTTAAATCTTTCCTGCCTTTATTATTTATTATCAGTTTTCCTCAACTTGTCACCGTCTGACTGATGGATTTAAGGTCATCTGTTCTTTCTGTTCCTCGGAGCAGAGCTTGTCCAAGACTTCCAGTCCTGGCTGACTGATCTGAAGTTGGAGCTGAAAGAGTGTTCTAACCAATCAGGAGATGTCGCCGTCCTTGGAGCCAAGTTGCAGCGGCTGAAGGTATTGTTATTGGTCCTACTGTCACACACACCTCTCCGTCTCAGTAGTTTGTATTTGTAGTGATTTAGTTTGTCGTAACAAGTTGCAATTTTGTCATTGCAAATATGTAAGTTAATTTTTAAGTGTGAATTTGATACCTTCCACGTAATTTACTATCATTACTGGGCCAAAACAAACCTGGGCTCGTATTCCCAACCATAATGACTCAAAGGGATTGTACTGAAAGAAATAAAACTCCCACAGTTTATGAAGCTTGGAAGTTACGTGTTGGCCACGTGAAAAACATGAGAAGTCCTGATCCGACAGTGGTGGCTTTTGATTTCTTAGCTGTCGCAGTTTGTAATGTTCCTCTTCCTGCATCCACAGGTGTGTACTGAGCGGACACCAGAGGGTGAGGAGCGTCTCTCTCAGGTTTGTGAGGAGGCCAAGAAGCTCCAGCTCCATCTGCCCAAAGCTGGAGCAGCACAGGTCCAAGACAATCTGTCCTTCTGTCAGAGAGAGTGGAGGAACTACCTCGACAGCTGCTCTCAGAACCAGCAAGACTTGGAAGAGAGCATTGACCTTCTGAAAAAGTAAGTCATCGCCGTTGGCAGTTTTCACATTTCTGCCAACGTACTTTAATTTTAAAAACATCCCCTCTCATCTCCTCCTTCCTCCTCCTCTCCTCTCCTCTCCTCTCCTCTCCTCTCCTAGTTTTGATGACTGTGTGGAGGGCATCAGAGACTGGCTGAAGCAGATGGATCTCAGCCTCCAGAGTGAGCCTGTTCTTGGTGTGGAAAGCCAGCAAGGAGCCCCAGATGCCACAGAAGAGCTTGAGAGGATGGAAAACCTGCATAAGGAACTGATAGCAAGAAGGTTTGTACATGTGGGTGTCTGGGGCCATATGTTATCTATGCTATAGCATCTGTTGAATATTCAGAGCCATAATATATACCTTTTTCCTGTAAGGGAATCTATCGAGCGCCTCTGTCAGGAGGCTCATGCTCTGTCAGAGGCCGGCCGGGGGTCAGGAGGAGAGGTCAGAGTGACAGGCCAGCTCCAGATGGAGCACCAGGCCCTGCTGAGAGCAGCCAGGGAGAGGCTACGAGGCTGCCAGGAGAGCCAGGCCTTTGGTGAGACCCTCCAGGGAGTTTGGGCCTGGCTGGAGGAGATCCAGGAGCGACTGGGTACAGTAGACAGCACGATGGGGACCAAAGAGCAGCTAGAGCAGAGACTGGAGACTGTGCAGGTGAGAGGGAGTTTAGCTAGAAGTCTATGCATACCTGTAACTGTCATGAAATATAACTAGTGTATGTGATGAGATGCTCAAAGTGATTGTAAGGATCCATTTAGCATACACATGTTATATATTACGTTGTTCATTATGTAATCATTTTGTTTTACTCTAAAGATTTAAAAAACAATCTACTTCTATTATAAGGTACAGTTGTTCCAATAGACACCAGAGGGCGCTGTTTCCTTAAGAACCCTTTCCACTCTATACCCTGATGTCTAAATCCAGTTCACTGAGCCCACGCTCTGTTCGCACAGGACATCCTGCTGTTGAAGGGAGAGGGGGAGGTGAAGCTGAACATGGCGATGGGTAAGGGTGAGCTGGCCCTGCGCAGCTATGGAGCTGCCGGACAGGAAGTGGTCCGCTCTCAGCTTCAGGAGGTGGAGGATGCGTGGGCCACACTGCTTGTGACTGCCATGAGCTGCCACAGGTAGACTACTCACCTTGAGCTATCTCCTGTATTTTTCTCTGATGATGTTAATGCCACATGTATAGAATGGGAGCAGTTAATCACCTGACTCCAGAAGAAGTGGTCCTGCCCTGAACTAACGGTCTTTCTGTTGCGTACGCTGTACCTGCTCTGTGTCAACTGTAAACAGACTTCATTCAGCCGTTACTTTACATTTTTTAAATTAAACTATTCACCTGTGGACATTTCAGAGGCTATTTAACTTTGTGCCAAAAAGTCCTCTCTGCTGGGAGTCGGTTATTTTCATCACAATAAATTAATGTGTCAATGCTATTAATTACCATTAGGTTAAATACATAATGAGACGTATTTGTCTGGTTTTGTAATGCTGATTGATGTGTCATAGTGTGGGCTCTTTTGTGTACGTGTGCGTGCATGACAACGTGCACATGCACTGGTTTGTGTGTGTGTTTAATTGAGCAATTATGGCCCCTCCAAGAAAAAATTGATCTCATTAGGGACTAAATGGAGGATGGCAAACAGTGGGTCACACATGGGGTGTGTTTGTGTTTTAAGGGGAAGGGGATAACAGGAGGCGAGGGGTAGCAGGTGAAACAGAGATGCATGTGTGTGTGAGTGTGTGGATATTGGCGTTATTTGTACATGCGGGGGTAACAGATGGCAAGGAAAATGATGGGTGTGTATCTGTGTCCATGTGTGTTTGAACCTCCCAATGAAAGGGGATAAAAGGCACGAAGCCAGTGTTGCTGGCGATTTACATTTCTTGTACTTGTCAGGGGTCTGAAATAGACTCTGTGACTGCAGGAGAGGCAAACAGCACTTTGTTTTGTCTTGATCATCGTACATACAGATTTCATGTGCCATGTTTGTATGGGTTTAAAGTAATCAGATTACACGTACATTTATATAAATAAGTCCCCTTTAATTGTGTAGATGCCTGATAATAATCACTAAGATTAGAATATTTAGAAAAAACTATTCCTCTCTATTAAATTGTTGTTATTAAACTTCTGTCTTTATAGCAGTTTTTATACTCTTTGCCCACGCGTTGGATATTTTTCGTATATATTAGTTTATTCAAACAATATAGTTTCCACTCGTGCCAGTCACAGACTGAAACAGACGTCTGATGTCTTCCTTCCAGTCGACTGGAGTGGACGGTGTCTCAGTGGGGAGGATATCTGGAGAGTGCTGCCCAGCTGCGGTGCTGGATGGAGGCTGTAGAACGGGAGGTGTGTGCCCCTCTCACGCCCCAGCCAGGACCCAGAGAAAAGGCATCACAGCTGGAGAGACTTAGAGCCCTGCTGGCTGACCTGGAAGACCACCAGATGGCGCTATCCAGCCTGGAAGAAAAAGCCAGAGAACTGTTCAAGAAAACTGGCGATGCCAGCTTTAACCACGGCGCTCGCACCCAGCTGCAGGTGCAGTTCGATGACCTCACAGCTTTGGTAGAGGTATGAAGGACATCATTTTGTTCTTTAATAAAGACAGTAGAAGACCTTGAGCTTGTTCCAACTTGCTTAGTCCATGCTGTGTTATTACCAGCTTAAACAAGTGCCTTGTGTGTGTTCATTCTGTAGGAGAGAGTACGTTTGGCACAGGCAGTGGTGTTGGAGCACCAGGACTACCTGGAGGCTGTCAGGGAGCTCACTGATTGGTTGATGACTGCAGGGGAGGAGCTACAGCATTGGTCGGATACATCAGGAGACTCTGCCTCCATCAAAAAGAAACTGTCAGAAGTGAGGGTAAGGAAGAGTGTCACATACACATTAAGAACCTGATGATCACTTCAGCATGTTTAACAGAAGAGTTGCTACACTGGGGACACTGGGGGAGGTACTGGTTTCATCCTTCCTGAGAAAACGAGGGCTGCCATAAACTAACAGGCTGACAGGTGACCAGGCTGCTGTGATGCTGGGTGGACATAAGTTAAAAAAAGGATTTAGTCGATTTAAAATCAGATGTACCGCTCAGTGTTGGAATGCAGAGCACCACGTGAGAGCACAGCTTTATCAGAAGGTCCATGTAGCAGCTCTTCAGCAGCTTTGTGTTGGTAATACAATCTCATCAGCAGATCAAGTTCAGCCCGGTGTCTGGGAAAGGTAAACGTCTGAATGTAAAGGTTTGTCATGATTCCTCTTCCACATGTACATAAAAACAAAAAGAGAATCAAAGTTTATTGATGATTCATTTGAACCACTGGTTTGCTGTGGTAAATGGTACAGGAGCACATCAGAGCAATGCAGTGCAGCATCAACAACCCTGATTCTGTCCTACTGTCGCATTTATTAAGTGTACCTACAGTCTGGCTGAATTACCATCACTCTGAGTTTAGGTCCTTATGCATCCTTCAGGTGTATGTCGCTCCTTTGAATCTGCTCCCAGTTTAAAAGTGTTATACCTATTATCTCTTGTGAATATAACTGATTGCTTAATCTAATCTTAATGGATTCTCGCTGTGAAGAGGAGAGCAAATTATGTAGGGAGTTGGAATTGGTTCTCAGTTTGTTCCCACATCAGCGCCAGATATCTCTGTCTCTCCTGATACGTTTTACTGCCAATACGTTGGATTATTATCATGCAAAACAAAAAGGTAAAAGAGAAGAGCAGTGGAATTAATGCCTACGGTTTTCCCTGTCCGATAATTCTCCAATTACAGAGGAGAGAAAATATGTGTGGAGAAATTAATTTGCATTTAAATTTTACACGTGGGCCTTAATTATCAGGTTATAAATGTGTGTTTGCAGAGCCGTGGTGTGAAGTCGTTCAGTGGAAGAGAAGATAGCATTTCTTGTATGTAGAAGCTAGTTTTCATTTTCATTTTTCATTCAGAGTCTCAACATCTGTCCACTCAAGCACGCTACGATGATAAGATGTCATTTCTTAGCCCTTTTCAATCCCCCTATCAGCTCGCTGCTATCGCATCACACTCAAGTGTTTGCTTTTCACATCGTCTGCCAACACAGTGCTGCCTTCTCACAGAGAGGGAAGGATGGAGGTGAAGAGGACTGAAGAGGGAGGATGAAACCAGGGTAGACAAACAAGTCTGAGATTTCAAATGACAATATGGGACACCAGAATTAACACAGACAGAGTCAAAGCTTTAGAGATAAGGTACAATGTGATGGAGCTGATGACATATGAGAAAACGACTGTTGGCTGCTTTAAATAGAAAACACTGCACGTGCAGAGATTGCTGTTTCTGTAGCCACAGTTTCCGTAGCAACTTTGTTTCCTGTCTGCCCTCGCCGTCTCCAGGAGCGTGTGGAGTGTCGCCTCTTGGAGGGCCGAGACCGCCTCAGCCGGGTACGTCGCAGTGCAGCGTCCACAGCGGAGCACACGGCAGCAGGAGGCTGTGAGGCCATGGATCGGCAGCTGGGGGCGCTGTCACACGCTCTGGAGCAGTGGGAGGGGGCTGCCCTGAGGGCCAGGGACGGCCTGGAGGGGGCCTTGGCTGCCGCTGCAGCTTTGGAAGAAGAATACGATCGTCTGACGGCCAAACTTGAGGACGAGTTAAAAGAGTTAGATGGACGGCTGAGGGGGTGGAGTCAGGAGCTGGTTAAAGCTGAAGGGCGGAGCAACGGCGAGGAAGCAGTGGAGGGATGGCAGCTGGCTAAGGTAGCATGACTCTAAATGAACATAATGGAAATACAATGTCCAGACTGTTTTCTGTTAATCTTCTCACAATTGTTTATTTAAAAAGTAATAAGTGAGAACTCAGTGCTGTGTGTAGAAGCTGGTGGTGCCGACTGGGTGGTGCTGTACCATCAGAGGAGGTGATTAGCCTGTTTAATGGGAAGCACACACAGACATACATCCTCTGCATTCAGCCGCGCTTCCTCTGCCAGTAATTATCCATTCTATTTGTAAATCCTAAAAACAGATTAGTTTCTAAATCAGCTTTACTGGAATGACGGCGGAGTGACAGCTACAATCCCATCACTTTCCCTGGTTTTCAGCTCATTCTGTCTCCCCTCCGCCCCTCCCCCTGTTGTTGGTTTTCACCATTATTTTCCACTATCTCTGCCACCCAAACATCCCACTAATTGTTTTCCTTCTTTCTGTCCTGTCTGTACTCTGACTTGGTGGATCTGACGGCTGCAGAGATGTCTTTCTTGGCTGCAGGGGTTGTTTCTTAGATGCCCTGCTCCTCACCTCCCCTGCTGCTCTGTTTCTAACCTCCACAGGATGTTTACAGTGCGACAGTTTCTCTGTATTGTCGAGGCCATGCCAGCATGTACATCCACACACTCCTCCCCAGGCTTCTTCGGCCATCCCTCTCTCCAGTTTTTCTCAATTTGGGGCTGTCAGATAGCAGAGGAGGAGTCTTTCCCCTCCTCCGCCTGGCTCTCTCCTCCCCAGCCTGCTTCCTGTGTCCAGCCTTGTTTTCGTTACGTGCTTGTTTGAACCAATTCTGCATCTGTGAGGGCTGACAGCTGAATTCCACCAGGAGAGATCGTGAGAGAGTGAGAGGGAGGAAAAATGTGTGAGAGGGAATAAGTGGAAGGAGTGGGAGGAGGGACGGAGAGAACGAGAACAGAGGAGAGGAGAGAAAGTAGTAGAATGATAGGAGGAGGGAGAGAAGGAGAAGAAGGAGAAGAGAGCAACGAGTCCACAGGAGCAGCGAGGGAGGGCTGTTCAGTCGCTATACGTCAGAGAGAGCGCTGCTACATATTTCATGGAGCAGGATTTCATGACTGTGTGAGTGCAGAATGTGAGGCACGCTAGGACGAGCGGGAGAACGTTATCCACAGCTCCTTCCTGCCACACTCCGCCAAGAACAGAAATGCTATTGTACAGGCAGCGCTGTGAGTATGTGCTGGAGTGTGTGTGAGTGTGTGTGTGTGAATGTGAGAAGAGCAAAACGCACCGAGCCAGGCTGTGAATAGGAATGCGAGTTCACTTGTAGACGGGTGTCATGCAGATCCGTTGGCTGCGTGTCTCTCCTTGACACACTCACACTGAGCCAGCTGGTTCTGTGGTTCTGTTCTGTGTTGTTCAGGACGTACTGGAAGGCTTGCAGAGCGCTGAGCCCATGGCAGAGAAGTTGAAAGGCCAACTGAATGACCTGGTGCAGTACTCCAGAGACCTGGGCTCGCAGTCGGACCGGGTCACTGCGCTCATCAAACAGCACAACAGGTGAGAGGAGTCTGTCTGAACGCTGAGCAGTGGAGAGATGTTTCTGTTTGTGTGTCTATGGGGATGCTAAGTTAGATAGAGCTGAGCTATCAATGTTACTGTTTATGGATTATTTCAGTTAAAAACTTCTGATCATAATGAATAATTCAGATCGCTCAGCCCGTGTATGTGCACTTTCATCCCAAACAGTCCAGAGCATCAGGTCGATGCCTCAGCAAAATGCTGCGCACAAGTAATTATAACGTGAATGCTGAGCGTCCTTGTGATTTCACAAACATTTGGACCTCCTACTTTTTCATTTTGTCTAATTGCACGTCTGCTTTTTAAATGCTGTTGTTTGTTGGTACTGTGTTCAGCTTGTTGTCTTGTGTTGTCTTTAACTCTGTGTGGTCAGGCCACAGGCAGGTTGTCTGCAGTATAGCTCATACAGGTCCTAGCCTGTGTTATCCAACCTACATCCAACAAAAGTTTGTTTCTAGCATTTCTTTGCACTCCTTTAAACTTAGAGAGGTTGGTGCCATGCAGCGCATAAGTTAATTACTTTTAGTGATTTTGTGTGCATCAGCCATGTCATAAACTGTGAATGGAAAATGATTTTGAAAAAGTGTTTTAATTTAAAGGTTTAAACCATTATGCTGACGCTCACTATTGCTGCTAAAAGGCACGTGTTACATACATGCATCATAGAACGTATTATATAAAACATACATGTTACATACAATGTACATTAACAGACTTCAAAACATTCATTCCATTACACAGCAGCAGCAGAAGGAAAGAGCTCACATGTTCAGCTTCACAAGCTCATTTATGTTAGAGGAGTGTGTGTGTGTGTGTGTGTGTGTGTGTGTGTGTGTGTGTGTGTGTGTGTGTGTCCATCTGAAACACAGAGGTGTGGTGTGTGTCAGCCAGGGGAGGGTGAAAGGTGACAGAGAGCACCAGAACCACTAGTTGCTAAGCGACATTTAGCCGCCGTCCCTCATCCTGTTGGCTGTGTTTTGTGTCTTTCTCGGGTTTATTCTTATGCAAGGTTCAGTGTGACTTGTCAGGAAATTAGACACATCTGAAAGGAGATTTTTCCCACACTGACACACGCTCTGGTCTGTTGACTGAAGCTGCAGTTGGCTGCTTTGAACCCACAAGTGAGCCTGTGTTCACTGAGCACTTGTTGGTGAGCAATGCCATTTTAAAAGAACAACACTGCATTCAAAGCTCCTGCATGCACACAGCTATCCATGTTCAGGACAGCCATGGATGCTCTGAACTTCTACAGTAGCACAGACTATGTACTTATTTTACATGAATGTCATATCAATGTGCTGCCGTGTGACTAACGTTTGTTGGCAGACCGCTGGAGTGAGGTCAACTTGTTGGAAATGCTTTGGCAGTGAATTGGCTGCTGATTGGCAATAACCTTCCCTTCTTCCCTTGGCTCTTTAGTCTGCTATACACTTGGCCTGTGCACACTTTGCACCTGTCCTACATTAAGAAGAGTGAACAGACAGAATGAAAACGAGAGGCGGAGGAGGAAGAGGCAGTAACTGCCCCCGCCTCTTCATAGCACTCGCCAGATTTTGTCTGTCACAGCAGAAAAAAAGTGCTTCTTCTACACCCATGCTATCCCCACTGTGTTAGCCTTTCATGCCCTCATCACACCATTAGAACACAAGTGTGTGTGTCTGTGTGTCCGTTACAGTGTGCCTGTGTGTGTGTGTGAGTGTGTGTGTGTGTGTGTGTTAGCGGTCTGCTACAGCAGGAGGTGTGTGTGTGTGTGTTCTTGCCTTGTTTTTTTTTCATGCCTCCCTTTGGACAGTAAGTCTTGCTTAAACAGCTGCGCACCTTGTTTCCCTTCTGTCATCCTTTCCATCACTTCTTCCACCCTCCCTGCTTTAACCTTCACCCTCTGCCCTGTGTGTGTGGAACCCAGAGATTCTTTCCTTTTGTTGTCCTGCTTGGTTTTTGTTTTCAGTCAGAATTCAATTATGCTCCTCAGCAGCATTACACATGCAGCCTCCGTACCGCAGCGTTCTGCAAGTTTAAATAAAGGTTGAATGAATAAATGCATGAATATGAGCAGCTGCTTGTTGAAACAAACTAATTGTAACGGTTGTAAATGATGTAACGTCCATACAGTAAACAGACCGTATAGGTACATCCGTGTTGTACAGTCCAAACCTCATAACGTGTGATTTGTCTTATATGAAGGTGGAAAGGAAAGCTGTCGTGGACTGTTGTGTTTTTTACACTCATGCAGGAGAATTATTGATTTTAAAATCTATCTGAGCGTTCATGCCGTCACTTCCTTCCAGTTTTCTTTCTTCTTTCTGCAGTAAATCTGAACTCTGTGTGTGTTGGAATTCTTTTTATTTATTAAATGTCCTTCATTATGCTGCAAACACTTATAGATCTGTTTATATTGTTGCTGTACTCACTGGTTGCAGCTTAACGAAGGACAGATGAACAACAGGAAGAAATACAACTCACTAAGATCCCAGAGTCACAGTCTCCCTGTTCTATACTGTCACCCGTCACACTGATCTCCTCCATCTCAGCCTTCCTCGTATAGCAGCAAGCTGTCATGCCTCGTTCCCTCCGTCTTGTCACCCCTGTGAACTCTTGCCCCAATCATATGTTGCCTCTCAACCCCCTCCCACGCGGTACCCCTTACCCCCATCCCCCACGCTCCCTCTTTGCCCCAGTCCTCATTCCTTCCACTTCACCCACTTTGCCATTTCTCCACCTGCCCATTTCTCATTCCTGCTCATCTCCCAGGCTTGGCTTTATGCTGCTCCTCCATAATGTGTGTCCAGTACGGACAGTGTGTGAGCATCTGCACACGCCGTCTTTGTTTGGACCAACACATGGGAAATAGACGGCAAACCCTCCCTCTGCTTGTAGCTTCTTTTATTCTTTGTTCACCTCTTGAGGGAGATTTCAACCTGTGAGCAACTTGTTAAATCAGTCCAGCATGTTCTTCCTTCCTCGCCTGCAGTCTCAGTCTCCGTGCATCCAGGGAGTGTCAGAATAAGGAGCGCCTGCTGGAGCAGAGGTTCCGTGCAGCTCTGAGAGATTTCCAGCAGTGGTTGGTCAATGCCAAAATCAGCACCGCCAAATGCTTCGATGTGCCACAGACTGTCACAGAGGCCTCCACCGCTTTGCAGAGGATTCAGGTAGGAGATATCTTCCTAACTCTTATTTACAGTTGACGTCTGTGAAACTGTCCGTGTTGTTAAAACGTTGGTGACGTACAGCTGTGGACATGTGCAGGCTTTGGTGAGGTGGTTTGAGCTGCACATTAGAGATGCTACGTGGAAGTAGCTGTTTGGTTCAGATCACTCAGATCACCCAGTTTGGATTCTGTTTTTGCAATCTAAAATACAAAATGCATCACCTTCTGTGCACCACAGAAGTTTTCCCAGAACAGCCCTACCAGACACAGAAAGCAAATATAAACATGTAATTAGATTTTTGTAATATTATTCAGGCACAGAAGGTAGTAGAGGAATAGAAAGTAGTGTTTTATTTGAATGGAACTGTTTCCAAATATTGCTTTAATCCAGCTTTTGAGAAAATTACATTTTTAATAACTTGTTTTATGCCGGTTGAGTGTTTCCAGGGAAGATAATGATATCCAGTCATAGTCCCATGTCTGAGCATTACCACCCAGCGTGGCCATGGATCCTGGTTTATATTGGCCATTAGGCAGCTCCACTGGAGCAGTGATGGCTTCAGACTCAGCATCTGTTGGTAGCAGAGCTAAAGCACTGTCATTTATTCACTTACATAAACCTGAGCCTTCCCCCGCTCTGGGAGCAATGAAATCAACAAGTTTTTTATCAAAAAACTTTTCATATCTGCTCCTTGAAAAGCTTCAATCTGCTTAAGTGTGAGTCAACTTTGAGTCCAGAGCTGATAATTACGAACCAGTTACTGGCTTTGACCTTCTGTGTATGGAGTTGACCGAGAAATGGTGGCTGTTACAAAAAGAAGTCAAATCATCTAATATTTAAAGAATTAACTCACTTTCAAAGGGAGATTCCTCCGAGGAGCGTCTGTACTAACATGCCCACTGTTGAGCGTCCTCTGGTGGGCTTGTTGGAGTGGTGGGACCTGCAGCAGGCGGGACAAGCTGGAAATAGGCACACAGCCAAAAGCTCCACAGTGGGGTCTCTCTGCCATTCTCTTCAAAATATCTCTTCCTGAGACGTCTATGTGTCTTTTTGTGAGACTCTGGCAGATCTGGCAGCTTCTTCAGAGCACCGCAGGGCCCTGGCTAAGAGTCGGTGCTTCTCTGTGAAGGTGGACGTCCCGACATCCCTGCACTAGACAGCTAATTACCTCTCAGACACCTGACCACGTCCACACCACGTTACCGCCAAAGAAATGTGGTGTTACTGTCGCGCTCCTGTTTTAAGACAATAAGAACCTGATTGTTTGAAGCTGTGGTTCAGCAGCAGTAATACATGTGATCCAAAGTGTATTTAATGATGGTCACAGAGAAGTGGCAGTTCAGAAAGTCAAAACAACAACTGGCAATTTAAAAAAGGTAATTTTCTAGAAGACTGATGATGGTGGTGTGTAGGATGTTTTGTGTTTAGAAGTTTCTAGAGGATGTTTGTGGAGGAAATGTCTTGGCTGTGGTGGCAGTGAAGGAGAGAGGAATACAGACACGATCATGTTTTATTTATTATTGATGGTGAGGAATGTGGAACAATGTTTCCACATGGCTGACCTCCAGGAGGGCCGGCGTGGGAGGGGCAGGGGCATCCATTGTGTCACGCTTAATTGGTGGTATACAGATACACTGGCTGCTGTAAGTGTGAAAACCACCGTGAATGAATACAGAGCGGCGAGAGCAAATAAAGAGA